CCCGCCCCCCGCCCCCCACCACTGACCCTGTCCCCATCCGTCCTGTTCCTCTCGCAGGGAAGACCCTGGGCGCCGGCGCCTTCGGGAAGGTGGTGGAGGCCACGGCCTACGGGCTGATCAAGTCGGATGCGGCCATGACCGTCGCTGTGAAGATGCTGAAACGTAAGTCCCCGCGTGTGCTGGGCTCCGGGGGCCGCCAGCCGTGGGCCTGGCCGCAAGCAGGCGTTTTTCGTTCCAGCGAGCGCCCACCTGACGGAGCGGGAAGCCCTCATGTCCGAGCTCAAGGTGCTGAGCTACCTGGGGAATCACATGAACATCGTGAACCTCCTGGGAGCCTGCACCGTCGGAGGTAAAGCCGCGCCGTGCGCCCGCCCGCCTGCCCGCCCGCCTCGCCCCGCAGCAGGAGGGTCAGGCGGCCCGCTTAGAGGCTGCTCGCGGCGTGTTCCTGCTCCGCGCCGGCCGAGGCTGCCCTGGGGCGCGTAGCCCAGGACCCAGGGCAGTCACCCCGCTCCAAGAAGGGTGTGGGAAGGACAGCCGGACGATGAGGTCATTTTGGTGCTAAAGAAATTTCTTTTTAAGATTGATTTATGTGAAAGAGAAAGAGAGAGATGTTCCGTCTGCTGGTTCACTCCCCAGATGGCCACCACGGCCTGGGCTGGGCCAGGCCGGAGCCAGGCGCTTCAGCCGGGTCTCCCACATGGGTGCAGGGGCCCAGGCACTCGGGCCACCATCCGCTGGCTTGCCAGGCCATAGCAGGGAGCTGGATGGGAAACGGGGCAGCCGGGACTCCAGTCGGGGATGCCAGTGCCACGCGGCCCCGGCACGAACGTCTGGACTGTGTCCCGGTGAGCCGAGGGAAGGCTCTGGGAGGCCTGGAGCCTTGCCCGTTGCTGGGCCGTGTTTGGTCATCGGGGCTAATATTGCTGTGGACACCCGCATTTTGAACGGGCCCCGCGCTCCCTGCTCTCCCAGTTCTCCGGTGCCGAGTCACTTCTGCAGAGTCGGCAGCCCCGTGGAGGGTCCCATCCAGGCAGTCTGCAGCAGGCCCTGGGGTCTAGCTGCCCCCGCAGGTGTGGAGAAGCCTGCGGTGACGTCCACCCAGGCCCTGCAGGTGTCAGGAGTCGTGGGTGAGCTGCATCCGCCCACACTAGTTAGCTGCCTGCCACGTGAGGACCACAGCTGGAGGCGTTCGGGGCACCCAGTGCTCTGCCAGCAGCGGTGGTCAGCGTGTGGCTCGCTCCAGGTGGCCAGTCCCGCTCTGCCCTGCCGGCTGCCCCATGAGGGCAGGAGCCTCCCTGTACACGTACATCCGGGGACCCTGGGCCCCAAGAACTGAGCTCGCCTGGGCAGGGGGAAGAGGGCCTTGCCTGTTGGGCTTTGCCCCCCCAGCTGCTATGATTGTGCAGGGACCACCGCCGCCCCCGCCCGGAGCTGGCCGTGGCTGCCGTGACGTGCCGCGGGTGCCGGCGGAGGCGGGGTCACCCGGGGCGCAGCCCCGTGTCCTGTGCCCTCAGCCCGTGTCCTGTGCTTGCAGGGCCCACCCTGGTCATTACAGAGTACTGCTGCTACGGGGACCTCCTGAACTTCCTGCGGAGAAAGCGGGATTCGTTCATCTGCTCCAAGCAGGAGGACCACGGGGAAGCCGCCCTCTACAAGAACCTCCTGCAGTCCAAGGAGCCGTCCTGGTAAGGCCGCCTTGCAGCGTCGCAGCTGTGGACGGGCGCTTAGCGGTCGCAATCAAGGCTGATTCTTGAAAAAACACACTGAGGCACCCGGAGGTGCCAAATCGAAATTATTAGATTATTTAACCGTGGTGACCGGTTCAGGCAGTTCAAATGGTTCGAAAGATGCAAAGCACGGTCACCTTAAGAGTTCGGCTCTTTTTTTTTTTCCTGAACTTTTTTTTCCTGAACTTTGCTCCGTGAGCCTGTGTGGGTTCTAGGCCTGGTTCTCCTAGCACAGCTCAGTTCCTGCGTGCACTTGCCCTGACGCCCCCGAGCCTACAGGGGGCGCTGCTCCCAGGGGACCGTGCTAAAGCCTGGGCCTGCAGCAGAGCAGCACGGAGCGCTGAGCCCCTCTCTCCACGTCCACTTCCCGGCGTCCCCCCCACCCCACGTCCACTTCCCGGCGTCGCCCTCAAGCCGGCCCTGTGTACTTGGCCCCCACCTGGAGCTCGCCACGCGGTAAAAAGGCGGAGCTGCCCCAGCGCCTTGGAAAGCTGCACCTGCCTCTCGCACCCTGGATAGCATGAGTCCCAGTGACGTGTGAAGGGCTCTGGGTTTCCTTAAGGAGAAACGGTTGGGTCGACAGCAGAATGCGATGGCCCCCGTAGACACTGCTGACAGGCCACTCCCTCCTGAAGCCGTTTTCCGTAGCTTTGGCTCAAGTCCAGAGCCCCAGGTGGTTGGTTGGTTTTTCTGTTTGTTTGTTTGTTTTGGTGTTGGTTTGTTTTATCCTTGCAGACTCGGGTGGTTTAACAAGGCAGCGAGACACTGCCCAGGCCCCCTAGTACCGGTTTCCGCTGAGTCTGTGCCCTGGCGTGGCAGCATCGAGCCCCTTTGCCCTCTTTCTGAAACCCCCGCCTGGCGTTGCCGCGGGCACCCCAGCCAAGGCCCGTGGGAGGCGGATTGGAAAGGGTGGCTTCCTTTGATGCCAGGAGCGTTTTCACGTCCATGCACGGGAGGGATCCTGACGAAGTCCGTGCGTGGGCGTGGAACCCGTCACTTGCCCCGTCTCCCCCGACCTCTGGGACGCGCCCGCCTGCCCTCCCGCTCCCCGGGCTGCCGGCCTGCGTGGCGCGCTGCGCGCTGCGCCATCCCATCTGGGGCTGGAAGCCTGGCGCTCCGAGGGAGCCTGTTGTCATGGTGTCCCTATGCTAATGAGAAGCGGGAAGCACTAGGAATCTTGAAGAGTCTCCAGCCAAATGTTGCCGATTCGAGAGGGCCAGATGGTTCAGAAAACCGCCCAGATTATTGGCGTTCGTCTGAACCGCGCTGGGTTTCTCCCACAGACGCCGTGTGTTCGCGCCCTCTGCCTCCCCCCGGAACAGGCCTTGGAAGCTCTTGTTCTTTGTGTGTCGCTCGTCATGGGGGACAGCGTCTTTGTGCCCTGTTTCCCGTGGACACCCGCGGCGTTAGACGGGACACAGAAGGAGGTTTTCCCCACTCGGTGATAAAATCGGTCCCCGGGCTTGACGTGTGTCCCCTCTCCCAGCAGCGACAGCACCAACGAGTACATGGACATGAAGCCCGGTGTCTCCTACGTCGTCCCCACCAAGGCAGACAGAAGACGATCCGCCAGAGTCGGTGGGTTCCCGGGAGAGGGCGTTCAGCCCAGTGGTTAGCGCCGCCACCCCCCACGTCAGTGCCTGGCTCTGAGTCCTGGCTCTGACTGCTGCAGACCCGGGGAGACGGTGGTGGTGGCTCAGGCAGCTGGGCTCCCGCCTGCCACGTAGGAGACGTGGATCGAGCAGCTGGCTCTTGGGTGTGGAACCAGCCCAGTGCCAGCCTCTGGGGGGACTTGGGGTGAACCAGCAGATGGACCCCGCCCTGTCCCTCTCAGACAACGCAATGCAGGTGTAAAACGTCAAAGCCGTTTGCTTCTCCAAGGGTGTCATCCCCTGCAGACCTCTCTGTGGTCGTGGGTGACGTCACTCCCAGCGTCCTTTATGCCGGGGCAGGTGTTTGAGGCCGGAGTGTGTGTGTGTGTACTTGATCAGCTTATTGTAAAGTGTGTCTGTGTGTAAGTAAACAAGCATGCGGAGTGCGTAGTTGTAGGTGTGAGATTTTGGAAGGAAGCCACCATCGGCCTCCCACAAGGCTTGTGTAGCCCAACCCTGGCTTGTTTAACGTCCCCTTGTGGGCCAGGGTGGCGTCGCCACCTGCACGTGTGCTGCAGTGTGGTCCTGACCAGGCTTCGGGGCAGACCGGGCCTGGGAGGGCCCCTTTCTCTGCCAGGGTACTTGGAGATTTATGACATCATCCGTGGGCCATACAACATTACCAACCTAAAAGTTAGCCTGCCCTGTGTTTACTGAATTTTTTAAAAAAGCTTATTTATTTATTTGAAAGTCAAAGATAGGGATCGGCCATCTGCTGCTTCACTCCCCACATGGCTGCAATGGCCAGGGCTGGACCAGGCTGAAACAAGGAGCCAGGAGCTTCTTCCAGGTCTTCCACATGGGTGCAGGGGCCCAGGGACCTGGGCCATCTTCTGCTGCTTCCCTGGGCACATTAGCAGGGAGCAGGATGGGAAGTGGAGTAGCCAGGACTCGAACCGGCAACCATATGGGATGCGGGCACCACGGGCAGCAGCTTTGCCCGCTGGGCCACGACACTGGCTCTTGGGTCACTGAGCTTTGAGCCCCACCTGTGGTTGCCTTGGGGGCGGGGCCAGACCAGCCGTCTTCACAGGCCCTACGGGGGCCTCACCGGCGGACAGGTGGCTGCCGTCGTGTGTTTTCCTAACTCGGGGGTTTTATTGCTGAGAAGAGTCCTTTCTCACCAACAGGCTCCTACATAGAGCGAGACGTGACGCCCGCCGTCCTGGAGGACGACGAGCTGGCCCTGGACCTGGAGGACTTGTTGAGCTTTTCCTACCAGGTGGCCAAGGGCATGGCTTTCCTCGCCTCCAAGAACGTAAGTGGCGCTGAGTCTCGCGAGCCCTCGGTAGCGTGCGGTGTCACGGGGAGGCGTGGGAGCCAAACGCAGAGGGAGCTCGGACCCTTTTGTTCCAGCTCGCCCCTGATTCCTGTTCTGACTTGGGAAGCTCTCAAGTGCAAACTGCCTAAATGAGCTTCCCAAGAGTGTTGTCTCCAGCGAGTCCGGGGAGGGCTCCTGGCTTTGGGGGGATGCAGGAGGGGCCCCAGGAAGTAGACCGACCATCATTTTATCAGCAGAAGCCAGGGGATGCTGCCGCCTCGTGTGGCCAGGCCTCATGCGTTCCCTGCGTGGCTCATGGAGTGGCAGGAGAGAAGGGGTCAGAGGTTGATGACTGTGGGACAGGACAGGGACCAGGGATGGGGAGAGGGGGAGGGGAGGAGGAGAATCCAAAACAAGGAGCAGGCACCCTGGCAGGATGCAGGGAGCTCCCCCAGAGAGCTGCTAACCAGAGTGGGAGGTTCACAGCCTCTCCGGTGACATTTGCAAACAATTACCAAACCAAAAGAGGATCCCGGATGGCTGAATACAGACCTCCCTCCTTCCGGGGCCCTGGGAGGTGTCAGGCTGAGGCTGCAAAGTCGTTTTAAGATCTCTTTGAAACAGACACTGAAGGAGGTGTATGCAAACAAGCTTTCAGCTTTAGGCTGAGGATGGGGCCCCATTCCCGCTGGGTTCCCCCCACCGGGGGTGAACGTCTTTGTCTTGCCATCCAGAGACGGGGAAAGCATTTGCCAGAACCAAGTTTGAAGCGATGCTAGTCCCGAGAACACGAGACCTCTGGGATGCCATTTTGCTTGGGGTTCTTGGCAAATGCTCTCTCCGCGCAGAACAAACGCGTTGGGTTTTTATGGTGGCAGCCGGGCCCTGGTATTGGAGTCTCTTTAGGAAGTAAAGTGGCCGTCCGCGGTTTGCTTTTCTCCCCGCCCTGGGCAGTGTATCCACAGAGACCTGGCCGCCAGGAACATCCTCCTTACCCACGGGCGCATCACCAAGATCTGCGACTTCGGCCTCGCCCGAGACATCAAGAGCGACTCCAACTATGTGGTTAAAGGAAACGTGAGTACGCGGTTGTGACGAGGACCGATTTGCTGGGATTTTCCCTCCGCGAATCCCTCCCGAGACGGCCTGCGTTTGAGCGCTCGGATGAGATGCGCTCCAGGCCAACTTGCATCCCGTGCTGCACCCCGCTCGGCTGACGCCTGGTCAGACTCCCGAATTCTGATTGTGTAGTCACAGGGCATGGCCGGAAACAGAGAGCTTCCCTTTTCATGGTCGCACGAGAACAGCAGTGACCCTGGTCTTGGCCAAGTGTAACAAATGTGGACTTGAAGGTCACAGCAGGAGAATTTTGTTGTTGTTGTTGGAGATTGACCTACCGTGTGGAAAGTCTACAGTCCTGTTGAGAGTTAGCCTTGTACCGTGTTGGCTGTTACCGCGCCTCGGTTGGTAGAGCGGTGAATTTTTCTGAGTGCTTCGTTCCATTGTATTCTCCCAACAAAATCGTGACCCAGGTGCCACGTCGGCCCATTTTTCAAAGCCGGGGAAACCTGAGAATCCTAAGGCAGCCGCTGGACATGGAGGCTGTGGCCAGAGGCCCTGGTGCCGGGGCTGTGCCCACCGGCCTGGCAGCCCCGCTGGCACGGGCCCGTGCTCCCCCAGGCCTGTCGCCCAGGCCGCTTTGGCGGTCTGCAATTCTTCCTGGAGGGGGGTGTCTCGTGTTGACGCGGTATTTCCCCCGTTCATCACCGCTGCTTCTCCGTTGTAGCTTGCACTGGCTGTGGGTCTGTAAAAAATGTCGCTGGGTCTCTCCTGACCCAGGTATGTGAACCCGGAGTGGCTCCCTGGAGGTGAGGGAATTCAGTTCACATTTAAACGCACAGGAAGTCAGATAACGCGAGTCGTGTCGGTCTCACAAGGCCCGAGCTCTTGGTAGCGTCTATGCCGTGACCCCGTGCAGGGCCTGGGGGCGCACACAGACCCCTCATCAGAACACTGTACGGTGTGCACAGAGCAGGCGCGTAGGGTGCCGGAGAGAAGCAGCCGTGCCGAAGTACAGATATCAGAATCTCATAAAGCGCAGCTGTGCACAGTCGACACACGTGCTTCCAACAGAGTCTAGCTGTGGTTCTAGAAGCTTCTGTAGGAGTAGACCTTTAGCGAGTGGTTAAGACGCACGTGTCCTGGGTTCACAGCCCCAGCTGCAGGCTCCAGCTTCCTGCTATGGGAACCTTGGGAGACAAACTGTCGTGGGCAAGTGAGTGGGCTCTGGCCCACCAGGGGAGGCCTGGCGTGTGTTCTGGGCCCAGCCGTGGGGGCGACTGGGGGGTGAACCAGCACGTGGGATCTCTCTTCTTCAAATACAAAACACTGTGAACTTAGAAAGAAGGAAGCAGGCAGAGTAATTTCAAGGTGGCGAGGGCTGTAAGATTGTTGAGAGACGGCTGGGAGCCCCGGAGAGGAGTAAGGGGACGTTTGTGGTCGTTCACGGGTGGCACAGCCACACGTTCTGCTGGTACTCCCGTGGGGCCGTTCCAGTGAATGCCAGACTCTCCCAGAAGAGAGTGGAAGCCAGCGTGCTTTCTTTTCCCATCCAAGTTCCAAGGCCTCTGGATCCAAGATGGTGACCGGTCTCGGGTTAGAGCCGCTTAGGGATGTTGGGAGTGTCCAACGTCGTCTGTTTTTACTCACCTGAAAGGCAGAGACACAGAGATGTCCCATCCACTGGTGCCCTCCCCAGGTGTTTACGACGTCCAGGGCTGGGCCAGGCCACAGCGGGGGGACCCAGGGCCTCGAGCCGTCCCCACTGCCTCCCAGGCCGTGCGTTAGTGGGAAGGTGGACTCAGACGAGGCGCCGGATTAGGCCCAGGCACGCTGACGTGGGTTGCGGGTGTCCCAAGCGGCACCGTGACCTGTGTGCTGAGTGCCCGCTGCTTCCCCTCTTGTAGCCACAAAAATAACTTTGAAGTGAGAAGGCGCTGCCTACCAGTTCTTAGTCCTAAATGGAGCCAGGGACGGATTGGCTTAGCTTTTTCTGGCAGGCTGGGATCCGGACCTGACGTGGGCGGGAGAGGGAGGAGCGAGGTTGGGCTGGGTGGTAGCCTCGCCCCGTGGGCGAGCAGTTCCGGGGCAGGCAAGTTTTCAGATCCTAACCATCAGGTCTCACCCCGTCTCCTGTATCCCATGAAACTCCAAGCATTGGTTTTGTTTTGCGGTAGAAGAGACGGGGGCTCGATTTTTAGTACCTGGGTGACTTCCTGCGTGGGTGAGCCTGCGTGGTTCTGCCTGCGTGTGACAAATCCCAGGATAAGGTGGACAGGCAGGGAGTCAGAGGGACGCGGGGCCTCTTTCTGGTGCCCTCCCACCGATCGCCGCTGTCCTCGGGGTCCGAGGCGACCGCCGGCTGCACGCCAGCCGTGTTCTGAGGTTTACCCAAAGCCGCCACACAGTTTCCAGCGTGGCCCCGTTTCTCTACTGCAGGAAGAGAGGGGCGCAGGGCTCGGGGACATCGCTCAGGGCCGGGGCAGCCGGGAGCAGAACCCACACCTGTGTGCTTCTGACCCTGCGGCGTTAACGACCATGCCGCGTGGAGTCGGTGTCCCCGTCCCCGGTGGAGAGGACAGACACGCCGACTGCCCGTTCCGGAGCAGGTGGCGGCCACATAGTCAGAGGTCCCGGAAGTTTGTCTGCCGGGGTGGCCTCAGGCGGGTGATTGTGAGCTCGGCAGTCGACACGGCTGGGCCGGCTGTGTTTGTGCCACAGGCCCGGCTCCCCGTGAAGTGGATGGCCCCGGAGAGCATCTTCAACTGCGTGTACACGTTTGAGAGCGACGTCTGGTCCTACGGCATCTTCCTGTGGGAGCTGTTCTCCTTAGGTAACCACACCCCGGGTCGGGGGTCAGGGGTCGGGGTGGGTGGGGAGGACCCCGCCCCGCTCTGAGGAGCGCCGACCCGCCCGCCGTGTGCGCCGCAGGCAGCAGCCCCTACCCCGGGATGCCGGTGGACTCCAAGTTCTACAAGATGATCAAGGAGGGCTTCCGGATGCTGAGCCCCGAGCACGCACCTGCTGAGATGTAAGCCGGCCCTTTGCCGTCTCTCCGCCAGGAGAGCAAGCCCGAGGGGGCGGGGGAGGGTGTGCGGCTGGCCTGTGGCAGCCTCTGGGAGTGGTGCTGAAGGCCCCTCCCCCGGCAGGTATGACATCATGAAGACTTGCTGGGACGCTGACCCGCTGAAAAGGCCCACCTTCAAGCAGATCGTGCAGCTCATCGAGACGCAGATCTCAGAGAGCACCCACCACGTGAGTCCCCCAACCCCCCACCAGCAGGCGGCCCGGGGCTTCGTGGGCGAGGACAGCACCCGAAACCTGTCCTCGCTGCTCACCCCCCTCCGAGCCTCGGCAGGGGGTGCGGTGAGCAGGGGGCAGGTGCACCCGAGCCGTGGAGCTTCAAGCTCCCGTCGGGGTTCACCGTGTTTCCTCCCCCGCCCCCCAGGGCTGGTCACGGGGTCCCTGGGTTCATCCTCGGGTCGGGGAAGAGGGAGAGACAGAGATCTTCCGTCTGCTGGTTCACTCCCCAAATGGCTGCAATGGCTGGGGCTGGGCCAGGCCAAAGTCAGGAGCTTCTTCTGGGTCTCCCACGTGGGTGCAGGGCCCAAGCACTTGGGCCATCTTCGGCTGGATTCCCAGGCGCATTAGCAGGGAGGTGGATCGGAAGTGGAGCAGCTGGGACTCGAACCAGCGCCCATATGGGATGCCGATGCCACAGGTGGAGGCTTAACCCGCTATGCCACAGCGCCGGCCCCGGCTCAGGGCTTTGGAGCTGCTTTGATTCTCGACAGACAACGCCTGGAAGGGCCGTGGGCCGGCGCTGGCCGTGGGGATTTCTCCGTGGGTTACATAGTGCTCAGCCCGGCTGTGACCACCAGGACGGTGAGCTGGCCGTGTGCCTGTTCAGCCACCACATCTTGGGTGCAGCGAGGACCCTGGCAGAGTGCGGGGTCAGACAAAGCTGGCGTTTGGCGCCCGCTGTCCCTGCAAAGGCAGCTGGCCATGTGCTGGCCCGAGGCTGTGGGTGCGCCCGTGGTCGCAGGGACCCTCGCTGACCTGGGCTTTGTCTCTCCAGGTTTACTCCAACGTGTGCAACAGCAGCCCCAACCCCGCGCACCCCGCCGTGGACCACTCAGTGCGCGTCAATTCCGTGGGCAGCAGTGCCTCCTCCACGCAGCCCCTGCTCGTGCATGAAGACTGAGCAGGGCCCAGCCCGGGCCTCCCCTGCAGGGAGGGGCCTCGGGCTCCGGCTTCCTCCATGGCCTCTCCCTTCCTCCGGGGTGGGGGCCGCCGTAATCCCTTCGCGATGAGCACACTTCCGTGGCCGCTGGGGCCGCCCCCTCGGCCACCACCCCCTTGCAGAGGTTCGAACTGTAAATATATTCCCGATAGCAGAGTAGCTCCTACAGGCCACAGAAAAAGTGTGACCGGGCGGGGGCGGCGGGCCCGGGGCCCCGAGGCCTCTCCAAGACTTGCCGATTCTGTCCTCCTAGCGCGGTGGAGAGTTTGATTTGCTAAGCAGTGTAGTTGTCACATTCCAGTAGCCGGCAGAGCCTGCCGTGACGCCGGGGCACCAAGAGAAGAGACGTGAGCGCGAGCCCCTTGGTGGCCGTGCGACACCGTGAGCACGAAGGCTGGGGGCAGGGGCGTCGGGCTTTGGGACTCTGGTGTTTGACGCTGTGGACGCTGCCCGGGCCCTGGCTCAGCTGACCTAGCGTGTCCCTGCGCGTTGGCAGAGAGGGAGGTGGCCTTGTGCGTGTCCGTGCCCCCGGGGGCCCGCGGGTCTGGCTTCTGTCACGACCTCCCCGTGCAGGGCACATTCAGGGCCTCCCAGGTGTCAAGCAAACAGTTGCCAGTTTTTGTTTTGTGGGGAGAAAGATGCACCTGCCAGGCGCAGTCGGTGGTCTCCGCGGCCAGCCGACGAACTTGCTCCCTGGTTCTGCGGGACGACGCCCAGCTGCCCAGTCGATGGATTTGATGTCATTTGCCAAAGAGGTTGACGGTGCGGGAAGACGGTGCTGCCTTCACGCGGGCTCTCGCGTGGCAGGAAGCACGAGTGGGGTTCAGTTCCGTGGCAGGCGTGTCCTGAGCGTTGGGCCAGTATCTGTGGCTGTGTGTGTGTGTGTGTGTGTATGTATGAGTGGGTTTAGCCGAATAGTGGGGGTGGTGTCCTCACCCCGAGTCCCAGGGGGGCTCGGCCCTCCAGCACCAGGGACAGCGCCCAGCTCCCAGCATCCATGCTGCTGCCGCGACTCCCACAAAGCTTCCGGGCGGCAGGCGGGCCACGGGGTGTCCCCAGCATACTGTCCCCATGCTTACCACGCACACGTACTTCAATGTTGCCCTGTAGGCTAGAGCCTGGATGTTATTCTTGTAGTTTACTGTCTGTTCTTTCTTTTCTTCTCATTGCCCAGCGTAAGAGGCGGGTGGCCAGGTTTAGGATTGGGTTTAGGCTTAGGCATGCTGTCTTCAGGGTTCCTTCTGCGCTCTTGCGTCCCTCAGGCCACAGCCCGAGCGCCGTGGCCATGGCAGTGACCATAGGCACTGGAGTTCCATGCTCTCACACCTGCCCAAAGCCAGCCGGTTCTGGGGTTGCGTTGTCACGTAGGAGATGGCCGCCGTTGGCCAGATGTGTCTGAAAACCATTCCTTTGCGTTCCTGTCGACTTGGATTATGGAAAGGAAATCAGTTAGTGGCTCGTGGTGGATGTCTAGGTACTTCAGGGCACTTCACTGAGAGTTTTGTCTTGGATATTCTTGAAAGTTTATATTTTTATAATTTTTTTTTTACATCAGATGTTTCTTTGAAGTGGCTTTAATGTTTGAAATTATTTTATGGCTTTTTCTGTAAATATTGAAATGTAGCAATAATGTCTTTTGAATATTCCCAAGCCCACGAGTCCTTGAAAATATTTTTTATATATACAGTAACTTTATGTGTAAATACGTAAGCGGTGCGACCCGAGCGGTTATTGGTGTTTTGTCTTTTTTTTTCCTGATGTGTTGTCCAATTGTTCACAGTTCTGAAGAATTCTAATAAAAATGTAAATATATAAAATGGAGTTTCTGGATTGTTTCAAGCATAGTGAAATGGAACTTTAAGGTGTGTTTGCCCTGATGCTGGAAACATTTTGTACCCAGTTTGCATGAAACACAGGCAGGGCTCTCAGATCCTTGGGGGCTTTATACACGTAAGCATTCGGCAAAAGACACCACGTTTTATTTGTACAACTTGAGGCCTCCGATCGCACAGTCAGCGAGAACACTCGGAGGAGTCTGCACGAACCTACGATGCCCACGGTCAGACTCAGCTTCCTGTGCGGACCTGCCGTCCACACCTGCAGAAGGGCACCTGCACACCGTCAGTCTCGGCTGTGTGTGTGTGTGTGTGTGTGTGTAGCTGTTTTCCTGGCTGGCCCAGCGTGTGTGTGTGTGTGTGTGTGTGTGGTCTCTGTAGTCTCTGTAGCTGTGTGTGTGTTGTCTGTAGTTTGTGTGTGTAGTCTCTGGTCTCTAGCTGTGTGTGTGTGTGTGGTCTCTAGTGTGGTCTCTGGTCTCTGTAGCTGTGTTTGTGTGTTTGCGTGTGTGGTCTCTGTAGTGTGTGTATGGTCTCTGGTCTCTGTAGCTGTGTGTGTGGGGGTGGTCTCTAGCTGTGTGTGTGTGGTCACTGTAGCTGTGTGTGTGATCTGTAGTGTGTGTGTGTAGTCTATAGTTTGTGTGTGTGTGTGTGTGTCTGTACCTGTTTCCTGGCTGGCCCAGCTCTCTGCAGCCTGGTCGCAGTGGGTGCCTGTTGGTGCTGCTTCACACCGGGGCCCGTCTCTGCCACTGAGTGCCGTATGCTCTGTGCGATGGGCGCCTGAGGTCTCCGCGCCGTCAGTGGTCGTGTGGGTCTGGACGGGAGGACACGGAGCTGCCAGGGCCGCCGGGGCTTGATGCCCATCAGAATCGGTGACTCATAGCTGTTGAGGCCCCTGAAGGCGGGAGGGGGAGGGTGCCCCGTCCCGGCGGGACGTGCGTAGGATTGTAGGGATCTGCCTCTGCCCGCTGTCTTGTGCTGGTGAAACGGCCATGCTACCCAGATCTCTGTGCTGTTAGTAAAATCCCGAAACCCCAGGCAGGAGTTCAGGGCTCTGCATTCTGGCTCCAGCCTGCCGTCCGTCTGGTCTGCCGTCCTTGTGGGCCCCACATCCGCAGGCTCCTTCCTGTCCTCTTTCCCGCCGAGCCTCCATCTTCCTAGATTCCAGATCAGAGTCCTCTGTGGAAGGTGTCTGTCCATTCTGCCTCGCTCTTAGGTCCCCTGTCTCTTACCTCCTGCACTATATTCTTGCTTGCAATCAATCCACACAAAGTACCCATGTGTGCTCTGGTCACTGGCTCACGGGTATCGTTTATTTGTTTAAATTATCCCCACGCTTGGAAGCTAAATTGCCCAAGAGGTTGCAAGAGTTGGTTGAGACTTGCTCCAGTTTACCAAGCAGGTGGAATCAGAGTTTGAATCCAGGTCTGTGCACCTCAGTGATGGTAAATGCCTGGCCGTCCACCACCGTGCCCATGCAGACATCATTCATCTATCCCAGCACTCTTTCCCACTGAGCCAAGATGTCTCGGAAGTCAGCCCTCTGCAGGAAGCCCATACCGATCCACTGTGCTTAGACTCAACCTGTGCCCCGTAAATGGTCACCAGGCCTCCGTGTTCGGGGTGGGGGGCAGGGAGCATGCATTCCCTATCCCAGACATGCCTGAAGCGGCTCACGTGTGCTTGGTGAGTCATTAGTGGCTTCTGAACGAATAATTAAACATTCCATCAGCATTGAGGGTGAGGGAGAGCCATCTGGGAGGAACTGACTCCAGGGAAAACAAGATGGGCGAGGGGCCTTGGGGAGACGGGAAAGGGGAACAAGGAAGGTCCCTCTGGACCCTAGCTGATGGGTGCCTGCATGGGGGATGCCCACAGGAGGGGTCCCGGGTGCAGAGGGAATGATCCGGAAGTACCGCTGGCTAGCTTTGTCACCAAGTGGTGCTCTCCCTGTGGGTGTCCGTGGCCAGTGATACGGGATCAGAGCCCCACCTTGCTCCACTGTGAACCCAGCTCAACTCACTACTGCCCAGGAAAGTCACAGGGGTTACTGTTGGGACTTGCGCGTGAACTTGGCAGGGGCGGGCACACAATTCTAGCCACGACGGAGCCCCTCCCAGAGCCCCTCTGTGTTGTGGGAGGTGACCTGTCCCCCACCCCCCGGGCATTAAAACAGCTCCGTGGCCATTGCAGAGCCTCCCTCTTGGGTCTGTCGCCCAGAGCAACGTCTGCACGGTACCCAGTCCGGAGCAGACGCTCGGGGCTTGCGGGGCGAGGGGACCGCTTTGCAGAGGGACCTGTGCTTGTCACGTGCCTCGTGGCCTGTGCCCCCAGTCCTCCCCCTCCTCTCTTCACCCACCGCCCTTTAAAGACTCGAGGTCCAGCGTCTGGTCCCTAACTGTCCCCTCTCCTCCTGTCTCTGGGAGCGGCTGTCCCTTTCAAGGTGACAATTTCCAACTCTTCTCTACCCCTGCAAAGACCAGGGTTGCCAGGTACAATGGTGGACACCCAGTGACTGGAATGTCACATCGACAACAAACAACATTTAACGGAGTATGTCACAGGCTGTGTCTCAGACACACCACAAACGCTTAAGACTGCAAGAGGAGCAGGCACTTGGCTACTTGTGACCAGCGTCCCTAAAGCATCGATGAGAATGTGGCTGGATTAAAAGCTGAGTGCTGGGTAAGCTGCTGTCTGCAACAGCGACATCTTATGTCAGAGCACTCGCTGCTCCGCTTCCAACCCGGCTCCCTGCTACTGCGCCTGGGAGAACAGCAGAAGTCGGCCCCAGTGCTTGGCGTGGAGTTCTGCTTCACCCTGGCCCAGCCGCGGCTGTTGTGGCCATCTGGGAAATGAGCCAGCAGATAGAAGATCTCTCTTTGTGACTTTGTCTCTGTTTTTTATTTGGGAGGCGGAGTCACAGACAGAGGGAGAGACAGAGAGGCCTTCCACCTGCTGGTTCACTCCCCGAATGGCTGCAGCGGCAGGAGCCCAGAGCTGCTTCCGGGTCTCCCACGTGAGATCAAACTGGGTTGGGAGTGGAGCAGGTGGAACTTGACCTGGCACCCATATGGGATGCCGGCACTGCAGGCCGGGGCTTTAACCCGCTGCACCACAGTGTTGGCCCCATAGGGTAAGACTCTTGACCTTGGGCCATCTTCTACTGCTTAGCGGAGAGATGGCTCTGAAGAGAAGCAGCCGGGACTCGAACCGGTGCCCAAATGGGATGCTGGCGCTGCAGACGGATGCTTAGCTCACTCCGCCACAGCACTGGTCTCTAAGTAAATCTTAATGGTAATAATAATTAAGCTAAGAAAGGCCCCACCAGGGCGTCACAGGTCCCTCACGCCCCATGGTGCCTTCCCTGTGTCCTCCAGGAACCAGTCTCCCTCCATCGCAAGCGTCCATCTCTTTCATCTGAGTTGACTCACAGAGGAATGTAGGGTTTGCAGCACACACAGGGGCACTGGAGGGGCGCATCAGGGATTTCAGATCCCTGGGGGTGTGGATGCAGACGCCACCTCCCCCTGGCTCGCACAGCGGCCACTGCTTCCCACCCGGCTCCTGAACCCTGTAGGCAGCTTCTGTGACGTGGGCTCCTCCGTGGTCAGGTGGTGGGGTCTGACCCCGCGAGGGCTCGGACCGCAGTGTGAATGCCCCAGCTGAGATCAGCATTGTCCAGGGGCTCGCCTGTGGGCGTCCACCCGTGGCTGGCTCTGAAGCACGGGCATGGTCCATGGTTCAGCACTCACTCTCCTGCTGTACAGAGGAGGATGTGAGCAGGCTTTCGGGGCAGCTGGGAACACTCGTGTCCACCCAGCAGGCACCTGGCCTGAGGGCCGGGCCTCCCTGCCATGGAATCATTTGCTTCTAATCAGGGAGCATTGAGTGCCCGCGGAGGGTTCCGGTGTGGGAGACTGGGATGGGCGACTGCAGCTGCATTCAGATATTCCAGTGGACATGAAAATAGGATGTGACAAGGTTTTCATTTGGAGAATTAACCATTTAGCAGTTACAGGAATGGGTTTGCTAACAAGCACACGGAGATTTCACACAGGCTCAGTGAGCAAGAATGCTGTAGTTGATTAGTTATGTCTGCCTGGACGTGGGTATGGGGCATTGCAGTATGTGTGCTAGGTTTCACATAGCACTCTTACCAGGCTCTTTAAAAAAAAACATTTATTTATTTGAAAGAGTTACACAGAGAGAAGAGAGGAAGAGAGAGAGAGAGAGAGAGAGAGAGAGAGAGAGAGAGAGATCTTCCACCTGATGGTTCACTCCCCAACTGGCCACAATGGCCGGAGCTGCACCGATCCAAAGCCAGGAGCCAGGAGCTTCTTCTGGGTCTCGCATGTGGGTGCAGGGGCCAAGGACTTGGACCATATTCCACTGCTTTCCCAGGCCACAGCAGAGAGCTGGATCAGAAGAGGAGCAGCTGGGACTTGAACCAGCATCCATATGGGATGCTGGCACTGCAGGCTGGGGCTTTAACCTGCTGTGCCACAGTGCCGGCCCCATAGGGTATGACTCTTGACCTTGAGTAAGACTCTTGACCTTGAGTAAGAGTTGACCTTGAGTGAGACTCTTGACCTTGCAAAGGGAGCTTCAGAAAACAGAAATGAAGAAATGCCAAGGGTGGACAGGCTCTCAGGGGACAGGCACACCGCTGACATAACCCAGGCGTCTGAAATGCAAGGTGCCTAAGGTGACAGGGAGAGCCGGGGCCGTGCCGTGTTCAGGGAGCTCCAGGCCTGCGTCTTGCCTCGCCTGTGCCACTCCTTGCAGTCAGGCGACCTCTTTTCTAAAAGGGACCAAGTCTTAAGCATAGGCACTTAAATCCCATCCTTTTTCCTGGCCTCACAACAGCCCTCGGAGACAGGGATCAAGCAAACTGAGACTCAAGCAGATTAAGTGAATCCTGTTAGACTCCACGGCCCCTCTCCACGGAATCGGAGCATTCCACCTGCTGCGGCTGCTGCTGT